GTTTGTATGCTTACGTCAGCCAGAGACCGCTCAGGAAGGACCAGAGGAAAGCAACCATGTTGTATTTGCGCAAAAGCCAAATATGTTATCTTCTTCCTTTGTGGAACACAGACCAAAGGCAACTAGGTAGCCCAGATGTGCTCACAAAACTTGACTGTGTATGCAATTTGTCCACAGATTCTCTCTTAGAAGATGGTCACCTCTGCATCTGTATGATTGAAGAAAATTTAACAGTTAACTTGAAAGCCAGTCATATACAGTAATGCCTCCAACACACTCTCAATTGGCAATTTGTACATTTTTATACAATGTGCTTATTCCCTGTTGACGGTTAGGTTTAGGGGTGGGACTTCATGCCTACTTTTTTCTAAAAAAATCTTACGTTTTCATTCAAATCACATCATATAAATTCATAAGCAATTTTCATAGCATAAAATAGTTTCCTTTTCTCATGAGATCAGGTTTGATGGCCAGGTTGATATTTTTGGAACAAAATGGATGACTACGTCGGCGCTGATAGCCTAGTGGGCAGTGCACCGACATATAACGCCATTGCATTACGGGCATCCCGAGTTCGAATCCAGATCCCACCCCCTCTCTCTCCCACTTCACTTCCTGTCTGCTATACACTGTCCTGTCCTAATAAAAGGTAAAAACACCAAAGATTAAAAAAAAAGACTACTTTGTCTTGCTAGGGATAATTTCATACCATTTTGTGTACCATAAATGCACAATTAAATCATATTTTCACACTTTAATGGACATCATATAACAAAAAGTAAACATACAAATCATCCGAGGGACATTAAAGCACCCAAAGAAGCACTCATAAATCACGCATCTCTTCCAGAAAGTGGATCTGTGTTGGGACAGCAGGATACGGGAAGTGCTGGCTCTACATGGCAGCATCTGTTATCAGTAAAGCACACCGCCGTCTCCAGATAAACACGGCTGATGGAGTGTCCGCGAGCCCATTGACATTGAGGGCCCTTCACTGAGACATGATCTCAAACTTGCCTCTGTACTTCAAAAGCTACACTTCAATGAAAACACAACGACTTTTGATATATAAATGGATTAAAAACAGATTATTGCTGCATGTTTGTGCTCTGCTGCTGACTCTCACTGGTCTTGTTTGTCTTCATGACACTTGTTTCTAGTCCTTGTTTCTTTCCGCTACCATGCCAGGCAACTCTAAGACCACCTGGACAGTGACTCATTATGTCACGTGCAGCTGGTTTCCTCATATTGTCCTTTGACTTCATGTCTGTGAGGGGTGAATCAGTAAGCAACACAGCTAAACACACTCGATGCACTAGGGAGGGAAATATTTCTTGCATAAGCCAAGCCATTAGATGCACCTTAGCTTTTTACAATTACTGATGTTTGCAAGCATTACTATAAAGATAGCTACTATAAAAGGCACATTTAGGGAATTTTTTTTTTTTTTTTTGGTGTTAAAATATTTGATGATCAAAAAATGTATTTGTGACCCTGGAGCACAAAACCAGTCTTAAGTCGCTGGGGTATATTTAAGTCGCTATTGCTACAATAGCCAAAAATACACTGTATGGGTCAAAATTAAAGATTTTTCTTTTATGCCAAAAATCATTAGGATATTAAGTAAAGATCATGTTCCATGAAGATATTTTGTAAATTTCTTACCGTAAATATATCAAAGCTTAATTTTTTATTAGTAATATGCATGGTTAAGAACTTCATTTGGACAACTTTAAAGGCGATTTTCTCAATATTCCGATTTTTTTTGTACCCTATTATGACTGGTTTTGTGCTCCAGGGTCACATATGTATGTATTTTATAACAATAAATTTGTTCATAAAAAATATAATAATAAAATAATAAAATCCTGTTTTACTTTACTTTATTATAAGGTAAATCTAAACCTGAAAATGTACAGTGAAATGACGCAGGTTTTTGCATCAGAGTAAGTCGATCCTAATTCTTTGTGTTGATTCAAACATTTGCAGCTGCAGGCTCAATAAAGTATGCTTACACACACAATCCACTGGAGGAGGAGTGTTTGACGCACAAACTCTTGGTAATTGATTGACATATACGTCAATTCATAAATCCTGGCCAAAGTATAGTGGATTTTAGAGAAATGTTCATAGTTTTAAATCAGACCACTGAAGTAAAATTTGCACAGGTTTGGATTAAATAGCATAAACAAATATTATATTAAATATAAGTATAATAAATATTAAAAATAGTATTTAGCAATAAGTATTAGTTATTATTTTAGCATTACTAAATTTTAGATGAAACACACACGTATATAGATAATCTATCGATCTATATGTATTGTGCACATATACCAGACAGACAGACAGACAGATAGATAGACAGACACAGACAGATAAGATAGATAGATAGATAGATAGACAGACACAGACAGACAGACAGATAGATAGATAGATAGATATATAGATAGATTATCAGGTTCTACAGTTCTTTTAATATCTGATAGACACAGACAGATAGATAGACAGATAGATAGATAGACAGACACAGACAGATAGATAGACAGACACAGACAGACATAGATAGACAGACACAGACAGATAGATAGATAGATAGATAGACAGACACAGACAGACAGACAGA